TTTCAAAGGTAAAGTACAAGACCACTGAAGACGATCTGGTGATTTTCTTGCTTCTCGTTGCACATCATTTGACACACAAGAAAAAGATGCAGGGTGATGCTGTTCTTGAATGCCTCGCTATATGTATCATATAGCGACATTACCAAAACGTTAAGGATATTGGACGTCCTTATTTCAGGTTAACCCGGCAGTTGCTGGGGCATTTCGCCACCCACCGTTTGCTGGGGGGGGGGGGGGGGCGTTAAACGCCCCCAGCCGATAACTCGAGAACCAATAGGCGCAGCGAAACGCACGAGGCGGCAAACGAAAGAGCGCAACGAGACGCTTCAGATGAGTACTTTAAAGTTGAATTTTGAGGTCACAGGTCGGGTCAAGGTCAGGTCAAACACCTGAAATCGGGCTTTCAGTAGCATGGACTTCAGAACTTCGCAATGGGCGCCTCTCGCCATAAACTCTGTCAAAACGGTGCGCAATCCATCTTATAAGGCCTCCAAGAGTATCAGCTTCATATAGGGGTCAGTCAAGCATAGGTCAGGGTCAAGGTCAGGTCAACCGGGTAGGCACATATCCCCGAAAATCAAAACTGATATTCGCAGCCTGTGACACATGTTTTATAGGTAATTTGGGGCGTAGAACACTATGGTGACATTCATTTTATCATATGTGTACGTGTTTGGCTTAAAAAGTTCAATTTAAGAAATTCATGTATCATGGTCGTGAAGTAGTCACGAAAAATTGCCAAGATTCAGTTCAAGATTTTGGAAAATGCGGAACGATAATCAATAATCGAAGATAGCCATTTGATTGATCATGGTATTGGCAGTCTAATGGCATTTACGGCATGTCTGTATGTCTATTCTGTGATTTTATATGATTTTTTGAACATATGCCGTTTTTGGTCGAAAACTCAGAAATCATGACGTCACTAAAACCTCAATATCTCAAAAAATTTCCGACCGATTTTTTTGAAACTTTGTCACAATAAACTTCAATCAATTCCCTACAGGTACCCAAAATTTGGCGCGCCTGCGGCGCGCCGTTTTTATGCTATGGCCCGGCGAAAAAAGTGGGGGCGTTTAACGCCCCCCCCCCCCAGCAACTCGCGGGTTAACTTAGGCATTCTATAAAGGCAAGAAAACGGGAAGCGAAGGCAATGTCATCTGAAGGACAGACGGCCCGCTGCGTGCTGCTCAGCATTACCGCGGCTAATCAGACTTCTCCCGCGGTACACCATCCACACACTACTGACGAGGTCACGAAGACCTGACGTGACATGTCAGGACAGAGCTGCTGCCGTCAATAGGTACGAGACGAGGGTCAGGCGGAGACAGGAGGATCAGACCAGGAAACAGAACGGGCCAGTGACATTCAAAGAAGGGAAATCACAGCTTTATTTTAGGTTCTGGAAGCATAGTATTTGTTCAAACAGCAATTATCAATGGTTCTAATAATGCAAAGATTTACTCACTCAACCTCTATTGAAGAGAGAGAATTGATATAAGCGATCCACTGTCACTAAAGCTTCTACTCCACTCAGCACTTTTCGACCAATGTCTGACTTTTCGTACATATCGTACTCGCTCCGCGTTTCCACACGGCCCAGCAGCTGATGTGTGCAGTGTGTAAAACACGCAGGAAACTCAATTGTCCCGACTCCATCACCCAAATAACACAGAACATTTGACAAGAATACAAATACAAATAGACAATCGACTGACATGAATAAATGCATAACTACACAATAGTCGAACGCAGCCAGCGAGCTGGCACGGACCATTGGTTACGAACGGTTTGCGGCTCCAAACACAGGGCCAAACAGCGAGGAACAAACAGTGTGGCCGCTGAATCAGCCCGGAATGACGCCACCTGGAGCCGCAGTGGAAATATTGACACTTTGGGCTGCGACAGCAGGACAAACAGGACCGAGCACCACGGCAAAACCGGCGAATAAACGTCAAATGAACACGAAATGCGCTGGAATTGGTGAATAGTACGACAAATTGCTATCCAACCCAATGCAAATTGCATCGGTTTTACCTTCGCACTAAACTGAAAAGCCAATTTCCCTTTCTCACACCATCCGTTGCCTCCCATACATCCAACAGCCCATCTGGAAGATGACAGGATAACCACACAACGCTACCGTCCTAACAGGCTTTTGCCAGCCACACAAAGGGCGCTATTAATTTCCCTCAATGTTGAGGCGTCTAAGCCACGCCATGAAGCATGAGAACGGCCAGGTGGCAATCGACGAGATGATACCGTGATAGGTGCATTGTTATGCAAAAGAACGGAACAAATGCAGCGTCTGACCAGAAACACTTCTCGGTACGACAGGCCTAACTTCACCGCCAGACGGTATTGTTCAACTTACACAGCTGTGTGTTCTCAGGTTCAGTTGCATGTTGAGTTTAAAATCTGTGAGTTTTAGCATCTGGCTTATGACGTTGGAGCGCTAAAACGATTCCGTACTCAACGCCCTACAATTTCGCCGGCTCTGAAATGGACGGCCGACAGTTGACTCGAGCCCGGAGGCAGAGCGGGACCGGAAGATGGAGAACGACTGAGAAACAGCCCAGACGACGTGACCCGACAGATCGTAACTAGTGACCCGAAGGTCACGACGGTCGCAGTCGAGTCGTCGACGACTGGGTCGGCTCGGCGTCGACCCGGCGGCGACAGGACTTGACTTGTGACTGTCGTTAGACGGGCTAGAGACGGCAACTAAACAGGGAGAGGGAGGGAGAGAGAGAGAGAGAGAGAGAGAGAGAGAGAGAGAGAGAGAGAGAGAGAGAGAGAGAGAGAGAGAGAGAGAGAGAGAGCGAGAGAACAGTGCTCATGGCAGCGGGCGCCATATCAAAGCAAACCAAATCAAGAAGACAAGAGCGAGGGACAGAGCACGTGACTATCCCCCAAAAACTCCTCAGAAAGACACAGGAGCTCGACCGTGAGAGTTGCCACGCCCAGCACACCTGCGCGCCGTGCCGCTGAAGGGAGTTGGTAGGTCAGCGCAGCGGTCGCCCGACACAGCTGGTTAACAATGGAGCGGGTCGACCCGCCGCGGCGCAGGCCGCTCCACGGGACCCGCCGCGTCACGCGTCCGGCGCTGTCCCACCCCGAACAGATGTCCTGGGGTAATACATGGCGCCTCCGCTCTTACACTCTGGCCAGTCGGACCAAGTCTGAACCACCGGGCCATTTCGTTCGAAGAGTCAGAATAATCTATCGGAGCTAGAGCCAGGGCTGTCCGAAATGCTTAACGACACCGTTTTCCTGATTTTACTAAGAATGGTATGAAATTAAACCACCATTCAGGCTAACGAAGCTAATGAAGGACAGCCTGCCACTACGTAGCAGATGTAAGGAAATACGTTTCAGCGACGAACAATACTAATCCTTAAATCAAAGCATTTTAGTCCATGCAAAAAATACACGCAATGCGTCTACATTCATCCCAGATCCGGAGCGTTGTTTCATCATATTTGGATAAAAGGTTGGAAAAGTTTCGATAGCGATGACTGACGGGTAAGGGACAACAGGGTCTTCCCGACAGGCCGCGGGCACTGAATTCATCATTCGGCCTCTCAACTTTGCAGAACCAATTTCGATTCCCGGCAACTTCATAAAGGGCTATAGAGAACAGACGTGGAGCTTGAAAGGCTCTCAGAAGCACCTACACCAAGTAGCTCGATGGGGCGTCGAGTCGAAGCCGGTCGTGATTTCTGTGGGTGAATGCTGCCGAACGAAGAATATGATCTTTCAGGAACGAACGTGAACTGAAAAAACGCGAAACCATTGGGAGCTTCGGACTTAGAATCAGTTCTCCATATACGTCTAAATAATACAATTTGTAGCCTTGATTCAGCCAAACTTGTTTTGCGATCTGAAGCTGAACTCGTGACTTGGATAGCAGTTAACGCTAGCTAAAAATTGTATGTGACAAAAACGATAAGACATGATGGTAGCAACGAAAAACGTTTGACTAGCGCCGACAAACGCAGGTTGCAATGGCAATTACCTGCAACTTCAATTCATCCCTCCCACGTCTCCCCTCCCTCTCATAAAAAAATCAACCACTATCGGTCTCACTGCAAAGTTTCCTCCGTTTCCCCGCCACTTCAGACAGTCCTCTCCCCCCCCCCCCCCCCCCCGGCGGCACGCGGATCTCTGGCATCCTCTGCCACCCTCATGAGGTCACAGACCAGGAACGGGAAGCGCCGCCGCCGGAAGGCTGCGAGTGCTGCCCTCCGGCCCTCTGCCCCAGCTCAGCCCCGGTGCGAGACCACGCGAGGCCGCGGCCCGGTCACCACTTTACGGACAACAATAGCCACCAGGACGGATGGGACAGCGGCGCATACGGCTCCCACGGCCCAGTGCCGCACGCAGGGAGGACAGAGGGGTAGAGGAAGGGGAGAGAGAGAGAGAGAGAGAGAGAGAGAGAGAGAGAGAGAGAGAGAGAGAGAGAGAGAGAGAGAGAGAGAGAGAACGGGAACACCACTTATCGGGTCAGATGGATGGAAATTTACGTGCAGAAGGAAACAGCGCACAAATGGTCCACGCCAGTTACGCTGCGCACGAAAATGTGACGTGACAATTTCAACTGCGATCAGCCAGCAAGTTGACAAGATTGTCAACATGATAACGGCATTAGCCTTACGTGCGGCCACGTAAGTAGATGCCAGAGGTGACACTTGCGAAAAACACCTCTACGGCAGAACATTAACCGCCAAAAGTGGCCCGCTGCAACATCGTGAAAATGAATATTGTCAAGCGATGACGAGCCGTATTAGTAGGAACGTTGGTCCTATCGGCCACGTTGAAAATTACTACCCGCCCTACTTCCAGATTTGACCGGATGCAACAAAATATTGTAAAATAATGTACGAAAAACAAGTTGCAATTTTGACAAGGTTAGGATCAATACAGCTGCATCACGCAGCGACCCCGGTATAAGACCAAAGCCGGTGCCTGGGGCGCCGCCACCTCATTATAACACTCACCCTCTTTCGTCCACGCACGACGCCGTCCTTTTTGTTCTGGGCGGCCTCGAGTCGCTTCTTGACGTCGGCAGTGACGACGGGTGCCACGCGGCGGGCAGACGGCGACGGCAGGTACTCGACGACGGCCGTCTGTAAGTGAAAAGGGCAGGTCACCGACGGGAATATATGTCGACGGGCGCTCACACGCCGACATTGTATCAATGACGGCGGGTGTCACGACTGGCGTGGGTCAGTCACCAGAAATGTGACCAGAGGGTCACTGTTGGGCTATGGTTGTTCGTCGGAGACGTAGCGGCCACGGCCCAAACGGCCGTCCCAGCTCCTATCTCGGCCAGCAGACACGCGTAAACGGACCCCAAATAGCGCTGACAAGGCAGTCAAGCTGAAAGACGGATTTTACACTGAGTGTGTCAGCATGATCCGAACGCTGACAGCTCCACTGTAAAACAAGTGACAATATTAGCTGTCCGGCGCAGTGTCGAATCTCGGAGAGACGGATAGAGCAATGCGGGTCGTAAACCAGAGCCGGGTCGGGCCGACGCTCGGCACTGAGCGGTCGTATACATTGGGCGGCCGTTTTCAGTTTTACGCTGAGCTGCTCGCTGTTTTACGAGCCTCCGTCCGGGCCACTCGGGAATGGTCGTGTCTCACTTTCGGGCCTTCTCGAGTGCTCATAACGGAAACGAACGGCGCTATTCCTGTCCTTCGGGGCAGATGCATTCATGGGACGAGAGCTCAGTGATTGGCGACATCAATACTAGGAAATAGCTTTCTTTCAAAACGGCTAATAAACTGAATTAGGTTAGAGCTATAACACTAAAAGAAAAGATTAATAACGAAATTCGTCAAAGAACTAAATAAGAAATGTTAACACAACTAAAAAAGCCCTATGCCGGGAATAGCTCCTTCGAATCTCCTCAGCCTTAGAGCAAGGTCAGCCCCTATGAAGCCCAGCTCACTCTCGCAGCCCTGCCCGGTCCCCAATCATGCCCACTGGCGATGTCCCTCAGCCCCTATCACCGCGGCGGCGGAACGATAAAACCCGCCCAATCTGACGCTATTGGATATTTCAGCACACAGTGCGCTAAGCCGATTGTCGCTGTCACGTTGTTGGTTTGGCCCCGACAGTTTATTGGGATTTATTTGCATGCCGACATCAAAGAACCAAGTGAAATGAAAACAGATGAGACTTCCCGGGTCAAACGTGCCGGCACTTTTATAGCCGTGATGCCCACGAGCCCGGGAGATCCGTGCCTATCCTGAACTTTCACTCTCACAATAAAGTGCAGACCTTTGAATTTGAGCTTTGTAGACCTTGTGAAATGCAAATCCGATGCGCATCCACTATTAGCCAGCGACTTTCCTTTGCCATTCCATCTCTGTCAAAGACGAGAACCGGCGAACGGGGGCCCGGAGACGGAATTTCCATCTCCTTTGACGCGAAATGCGCTCCACTCAACAGAACTCAGCCCACTGTGTGTGCGAATCTCCGAAAAGTGCCCAAGTGGCGGCATTATTGACTTAGCGCTCCCGAAAATGTCACCCATTCAGGTAGCATTAGGCGAGTGCCTCCATTCCGATTGCGCGAAGAAATGCAAAAATGGTGAGAGTAAGTGGCACTCGCTGTTCCTTACCCCCCCCCTCCCCCTCCCTTTCCCGCCCGCACCATTGTAGCCCACGCGGTCACTGACCTTCCTGGAAGCGCCGGCCACCTTGCCCTTCGCCTTGGCCTTCTTGGAACCTGCATCATCGTCCTCTCGCTCCTTCTGCTCCTGGGCGTCCAGCTGAAATAGAGGTCACAGAGGTCAGAGCGAGGTCACAGAGATGTTACACAGAGGCCACAGCGAGATCGCAGTGTTGGGTTATGACGACCTTGGGCGTCCAAACGCCGGAGGGTGCCCACAGGTATCACAAGAAGTGTCAGTTAAGTCGAGGATGAACTATGCATTGTGCCACTTAGGCACCACACGTAGGTCACAAGTCACAAGAAGGTCAGCGATGTAGCAAAGACGCCACAGCGCAGCGGAAGCTATTAGAGCAGCGCGATTCACAGAGTATTTTTCAATAGGTACTGCCTATTGCAACTTACCCATTGAGCAACAATGCATCATTTATAGCGACCGAGATAAGCGACAAAAATAATTTTTCAGACCTTAGCTAAATTGGCTACGAGTAAGAGCTGTTAACCCGCGCCCCAGTGGCGGTCTCCGCCAACTTCGCCCTGGGGGGGGGGGGGGGGCGGGGGGGGGGCATATGTTACCACCCACCTCTAACTCAAAAACTAAGAGGGCTAGAAAGACGCGGTAAAAAGCAGTCGATAGCTCTTGATGCGTGCGTTTGAAAGTATTTCGGTAATTTTTCATCTTAGAGCAATATTGGGGTCACCAGAGGTCATCAAAGGTCAAAATTTGCGAATTGTCATTATATTTTTCAGAAAACATGCCATTATCTCAGGAACTACGATAGCTAGAAAAACGCTGGGAAAAGCAATCGATAGCTTTTGAACTCTTCTTTTGATAGATCATTATAAAAAAATGACCTCAGGTCAACGGTTTAGCCTCCAAAGGGCAAAAACTCCAAAAATAGCTGTTTTTAAGAAAAGTGTTTTTCGACAATAACTTTTGACTAAAAAACGCTAGGTCATTTCTAATGCGAGAATCGTGTTCCTCTCGCCGAGACGCGTCGAATGAACTATAATTTGACCTTGAAAGGTCAACTTCAAAATTTGACCTCAGGTCAAGGTCATGACCTGACCGGAAAAGGTCATGCTGCATATCAGTCGATGCGTCTCGGCAAGACAAACACAATGAGGCCAACCCCAGCGTTCTATCTTTTTCCAATCGAGAGTTATTGGCAAAAAACTGTTTGTAGCCTCAAATGACCTCGGATGACCTTTCAAGAGGCTATCAGCAAAAAAGACACCTTGGTCGTCACGGGTGGTCCAAATCATTGTTATCCTGAAATATTTGGACTGTTCCTATGCGTACACACGGATCTAGAGGCATTTTCGTTTTTCTCTATTGACTTATAATGGAAAGGTCACGCCACCGACCTGACCTTAGGTCACGCATATAAAAAATCCGAGATATACAAATTGTAGGCACCCATAACATCATGTAATCCACCAAGTTTAAAACCTCTCTGACAAACACTGCAGGCTGGACATGATTGCAAATTTTTTTTTAGGCTTGGTCAGTTAACTTGACCTGGTGACCTGACCTGATATGACCTGGGGTCAAAAATTTTACACATTGTCCAAAATTGATGTACCAAAAGCTACCCCAAGCGGCGCGGCGTTACGCGCCGCGGTTTTTTATTTATACGAAAAAAAAAAAACGCGACAGGGTGGCAACATATGCCCCCCCCCCCCCCACTGGGGCGAAGGTTAATGAGTAAGTGAGCCCGAACGAAAGAGAGAGGAGAGCGGAGGGACGAATGGGGAGAGAGAAAGAGAACTATCCCAGGATCCCCACCCACATTAGCCGTGTGTTAATCAAGCTGCTAGATAGCTATGTCTGGAGCCAATGCTGGCCTCCGCCCGCCGAGCGAAAAACAGCGGCCAGAGATTGATGGCGCGCGGCACAGAAAAGACCCGGCTCCCGGAACGGGCGGTCCGGCCGCCCGCGCCGCCGGCCGGTCAGGGCTAACGAAAACGAGTGACCAGCCGGCGACACCAAACGGGAGACATAGAGACACACCGGCTGAATGATGTCTTTGTTTATATATCTATATCACAGCTGTAAATGGTGAATCTATCACATCTGGGTAGAGTCCACAGGAAACAATGCAATATTAAAACGCTCATTGTTCAAGATAAACTTCAAGCGTGACATCTTGTGAACCGAGCTCTGACATTCAACCACTTTAAAATGTTGATGCAGAAGCCAGTTCACTGAAATATTTATGGAAATTATTCCGGGCCAAATTAAATTTTCACGGCATGCCGCGTTGCTGGGAAAGCTGAGCAGAATGAACAATACTTAGTTTACATTGCCAGCCTTAATAAATTCAATAATAAGCTTATGATAGAATAAACTCAAAACTGGATGGTAAGACCATACACAACACGAATCGGAACACACGCACAACTAGTGATACAAAACAGGCGAAAATCGCGAGGATCCACGACACCCACGAGCCACCCCCATCCCGGCGCCCGAGACCGCATCTGTGCCACTCACCGCTTCGATGAAGGCGTCCAGGTCCTCGGTCCACAGGTCTGAGGGCGACTTGGACTTGAGCACCTTGAGTTCCTGAAGCTTCTCGTCTCGCTTCTTGAGCAGCTCGTCCTTCTTCTCCTTAGTCAGCATCCACATGTTCATGCCGAGCAGGTAGTCGAAGTCGGGCGCGCCTGGCGCAGCTGCCTCCTCCTCCTGTGAGTCCTGAGAGTCCTGGGAGGGGAGGGGAGAGAGTCAGAGTCTGCGTGCGTCCTGAGAGTCCTGGAGGGGGAGAGTCTGTGTGAGTCCTGAGAGTCGTGGAGGGTGGGGAGTCAAAGACCACTGTGAGAACGTTCAGCGGGCAGTCATAGAGGCATTGTAACAGATGCGGACACAGAAGGAGCGCACACATCACAAACCGTGTGACCGAAACTAAGGCTGATTACATTAAATAAGCTAAATTCAATAACTTTCCGCATAACGCCGGAAATTAATTCAATGAAGTTGCAGCCTAGTGTAATGAAACTTTATCTAATGAAATAATTAATGAAATCAAAACTACATTTGCGTGCCTGTGTCAGAAGTCAGCAATCTCTCACGACGAAGTAAGTGCCTGGCAGACACATCCAACTCCGCTCTAGAACTAATCCATCTTAACCAGAAACACACATACCTCTATTGTGTGATGACACATGCCAAATAAAGAAGCGCAGGAAAAAACAGCGAATGGGTAATAATGACAGAACCAAGAAAGGAGATAACGGAACGACAACGACAAAAAACGCCAATGTCTGCGGCGAGCGCAGAATGAGAGAGATGACGGGCGGCATACATCACGGCGGAGATATTCGGTGCTGATGGTGGGGTGTGACCTCTTATACGGCCTTGGGTGTCATGTGACGAACGCGGACCATTACCAGCGCCGTGTTCGCGCGCCGCTACCCAACCCGTGCCGCCAGTGTTGGATGATAATCATGCGCTCGCACTATGCTGATAATAATCATATAATCGATTTCTGAGCATATCATGAGAGCGACGAATGTCAGTTGTTGTTCGGTTATTTACGAGGTGCCCTTTCCTCCAGTCTTTCCTGTCACATGTGACCTTTCTGACGATTATTTATATCTGTCCGCGTCGCCTACCTTTCTTCCTTCTCTAGCATACGTCTGATTAGATAGTGCAATGCCCTCCCTCTCTCTGAATGGTCTGCAGTATTATAGCTATCTGAGAGAGTACTAAGCATGGCATGACAGTCAACCTTTCTTCAACACACATAAGCATATTGCATATCATTAGCTCAGACGCTGACAGTCAACCTTTTTCCAACACATATAAGCACATCGAATCCCATTAGCTCGGACGCGCCAGTGATCCAGGTCGCCCACGCAATCCCTGTCCCAGATGGCAGATACCTATCAGCCTCCCTCCCAGTTCCTCCCTACCCTCGCCCTGCACAACCTTCTCCAAAGAACCCGCCCGTCCACCCAGCCCCAGTCCACGCCTCAGATACCCCGCCGCGCCCGTCTTACGGCGGCTTCCTCGTCCAGCAGCTGCTGTTGCGCCACCTTCCACGCCTTCACCGGGTCCGAGTCGTAGCCGCGCTTCACCAGCTCGGCGATCATGTCCTTCTTCTTCTTGTTCTCGATCGTCAGCTTGTTGTCGCACTTCTCCAGGATGAACCTGCGCGTTAGGAGAAGGGAGTTATGTTAGTTTCGGGCGGGGAGGGAGGAGAAATGGCGACCGGACTCAACTTGTTGGTATCGGTAATGCAAGAAGCAAAAGACATAACAAGTTTAATTCAATCAACCAATAAAGCTTCAAATATCGTTAGACAATAGGGCCGATCACAAACGTTTGTATGTGGATTGTGAGGTTGTTTTATTTCTGCCAAGGTGAATCGAAGGCTTACTTTACACCATAGGCAGCTGTTACGCCAGCAAGAATTTAACACAACAAAGCACTTTTCAAGCCAAATACGTACGTACGTTTGTACAAATACGAGGCTCGTACGACACAAGCCTTGCTAGACAGATAAAGCTTTTATCAATTGAAGCGGAATCGATCGCTTCAAAGCGCATGTTTCACGCGTCATTTCCAATACACACCACATTCATCCCTTTCCGAGAAGTCTATTCATTCTGACTGCGCCGATTTCCGATTAGCAAGTCTAACCCAACCAACTGGCGGCGGGCGGTTGCCGCGCGCCGGTGAAAAGATCAGCAGGCGGTGGCCGCGCGCCCTCCACTGAATTGGCTGTCACCGCCGCGGCCCCGAGCCGGTGACACGCACCGTTTCTCCGGACTACGATATTGCCTCCATCCGGGCGTGCCAGAAAGTCAAACGAGAAAACGCAGCCAGCGGGGGGCGAGCGAGCACGAGAAAATTATCTATCAATCTCGATTCTGAGAGATGGTGACGGCTCAATTCTCGCAGGAGCCGCGGGTCAACACATCGCGCGGCGGCCGCCACATCGGCACGTGCCGAGAAAATATTTACCTAGCTGAAAAAGCAGTCCAGCAAATAGGTGTTACGTAACCCTTACATAAGCCGCCGTGATTTGCCCCTTGGGAAAGACACGGGGAGACGCAGTGGCCAGCAAAAACTGGCCAAATACGACAAATGAGATAAACCAACAAATTAAATGGGTCCGCAAGATTAATATACACAGTCCGCATATGAGTATTGCAAACACAGCCACTGCGTCCTGTACCTGAGCCTGAGCCAATGTCCGAGCCGGCGAGAGGGAACACCGCAGCGCGCCGGGCCTCTGGGAAGGGGTTTAGAGGATGCCCACTCTTCCCGGCAGACCCCTGACACTGGCTAGCTCAGTAAGCTAACTTTACCCAGGCGGCACGGCTGGCAGGGGCTATCAGACTGCAATCACAATAGAGCGTGCTTTGTGGTGCGGGACGGGTGTTTCACCAGCAACAGATGCGGGGGATTGATGGAACACTTCTGCGGATCGCCCTAGACGGAATATTGCCAGAAATATTAATAAACGTCATAAGCCCTATTGAAAAATCTTCATTCAAAGCATTAAGCCACACTCCTTTAGCAGCGAGTAGCCAGTACAAATTACCCTGTCGGAAAAATTGGAGTGTTTAAGCGGCCAGTTTCGTCATAAGAAAACAACGCTGGGCAGCGGCCACATTACAAACACGCCTTATTGAATTTCACGGCCATATTCGGTATTGGTGCAGAACGCCGCTGCTTGGTAACGTCACATCTTCCCTCGCCGCTTTGTTTGTGCTGCGCCGACCCAATACCCTCTGACCGACCACAGACGGTCCCTGGGCCGGCTCAGGAGACGGCCAGTCGGGAACCAATACGGCCGGCGCGCCGCGGCGGCGGCGGCAGCGCCCGGTCGCCCGGCACGCCGGTCCACATGACAAAGGTGCAATCCAGACAGCAGGTGCGGCCGATGGGATCGCTGACAGCCCGGGGGCGGCACCGGGTCCATCGGGCCGTCGGAGCTGTCCCGCGGGTGTCGTGAACCGCCCTCCGACCCCGGGTCGAGCTGAGATGGTTAGGTACATCTCGGCGTAGTGGTGGCAATGATACACTGACGACTGGGGAAATACACCGGCGGCAAAGCTTCATATTCCAATGCTGTCGACTCTCAGCCGTGCCACTAAGTTCGTCACGGCAATGCTGAGTTCTGTCTGGCTATTTTCCGCTCGAGAGAAGCCGCTACTTTGTTCAGCGTTGCCATGTAAAAGGACTGGGCCAGACTCATAGCCATCTCACGCCTGTTATTCTTTTGCGTGTCGCTTTAGTGTCGCATTTATCTCCAACAATCAAATATTCTCACCGCGACATCGCATATGATATGACGTTAGTGCACCCTCACCGAATGGGACATCAACAGGCCGTATTGAAGCTACGTGCCCTGAAGTCTAATTGACTACGGCTGTGTTCGCTCCTATAGTATCTGATGGCTTCCTTACGGAGAAGAGAGTCCCGCGAACGCAGCGACTTCCCGCCTACCTTCCGGTCGCCGCGCCTTCTCCATTCATTCCGTATCCAGAGATGAATTAGTCAGAGAGCTGCGCTGCTCATAACCGCTATGATATCGACTTCGACAATGATATAGTGATTATCATGGTTCATCACGTTTGATTGTCACCATGATTCATCTGGTAAATTTGATTGGAACCTTTCGTGAAGAAATATGGCAGGGAAGTTGCGCTACTATTTTTGGTGTCTCACTAAATTTCCACAATCAGGTCAAGCTGCGAACGGCGAACATAAACAAAAGCATTGCGAATTCGAGTCACAGACTGAACTGAAATATTGTCTACGGCCAGAGTAATCCTGCAACAAGCCCCCGACCACTGCTGCCCGCGGCACCGGCTCGCCGGGACACAGGCGGTCGCCTGGAGGGTTCGAGTTCCAATCATATAGCCATCTGTGGGCGGGCTGGACGGTGGCCTATGGTAGCGTACAAAAACAACACTCGGACGGCCCTGGGGCGACGCTGGACGGACTCAGCGGGGCTCAGTCCATACATTGGTGTCATTTGAATGCAGCGTCCACCCCAGGACAGACGGGAAGCTGCCAAGCTGAAGGATGCCAACGCTACAAAGCTGCTGCGATCTGCGGCGATCTTTCAATCTGTGTAATGTGTGCGTCCAAGACACGCTCTTCCTCGTTGCAACATATCGCCCTCTGCCAGATACTTTAAGAAAAACACACACCAATACGAACCGACGGCCGAGTGCCAAGTAATCGAAAAATACCGGACAAATCCTCTCATCCAACAGCAAATTAAGCCCCTCATCCCGCGGCCTTTTTTCTCTCGTTTGGCGGACCAGCTTCGCTGTTTGTGGTTCTTTGCGACTCCACGCACACCTCGCCAGTAGCCATCCACACAAACACACACTGGTCGGATCACCTAACCACCTTAATGATGATTGCTCTGTTAGAGCCACCAAAACACAGCCACTTCGAGACTACCGCCCGCAATCACGGTGGAAGAACTGCTTCTCCCCAACCCTCCTCCAACTAAAAATCTCTCTGCGCAGCCGGTCTGTGACGGATAAAAAATAAAAAAGAAAAGAAAAAGAAATGAGGCTTGCAATTACTAAGAAAAAGTTTGATACTACCAGATGCCATTTTAAATTCATAATTTCATTTTCATAAGAACCTCGACCCCGAAACTTCCATTTATAATTCAGAGACTATTCTGCAAAGATTGTAAATGCTAAAAATTCGATTTCCTGTTTGAAATCGGCTTTTGGTCTGGCCAGGTAGCCCGTAGCCGGTCTTACACTCCATCTTCCCCGCTACCCTCAACAGCGTTCCCTGGCTACTGACCTAGCCTGGTTCCACAGGCGGTCTCACAGCTCCCCCGGTCCTCCATCTAACTGACCTGGCCTGGTTAGACAACCGTGAAGACTCGGCGCCGAGCAGTCCCTCCAGGTGTGTCTTCCGCTTGTCGTAGAACTCGAGACGCAGAGTGTAGAACTCGCGCAGGATCGAGGCTACGTTGTCATACCTGGTCGAAGGTGGACGGGGTAACTTAGTGGGGTGGGTGGGACAGCCCGACAGCGCACAGGACTGGACACAGTGCGGAGGTTGGGGTACCTTCACAGCGGGACAGGCCTAGTCAACGAACCAGGTGGGACGGGATACAACACCCCGGCGTCGAAACAGATCTGCTAGAGTGGTGGTGTGCGGCCGACAGATGGGATTCGGCATCAGAAAGGACCATTCAGTATACGGGGTGGGGTGAAATGTGACGTCGTGATGTCGGGACAGGAAGAGGCAGGCAGACGCAGTGCGTGCGAGACAGGACGAGAGGGGTGGCCTGATATTAGGGCAGGATATGCCAGTAGGTCGGCTGTGCAAGGATGTGACACCAAGACGTCGGGATACAACCGACTGGACTAACAGAGTGGAAAAGCGGGTCACGCGGACGGCTTGACATTAGGGCGGGATCATAAAGTAAATGGACGTAAGGGAAGGGTATTAACGTCACGAGACCAGACCGTGTATACGCCGAAAGGATGTGGAGATATTGACACGGACATCAGACACGCATCTCGGGAATGACGCAAAGCTAGTACCGCGAGCCGGCCGAGTGCAGTTATTGGGCAGTACGCGGTCAGGTTACCCGGGGGACTCCTGAGTCATTACGCACACAGCAATACCAGCATATCTGTAGAGATCCGGACTGTACAGAACACGCAAGAAAGGTTAATGTGGCGTGGAAGCATAAAGATAGACACCATATAGCGCAATAGGGTCCGTTAGAGATACAGACTGTCTAGAACAGCGCAGAAACAGCTTAGCAGAGGTGTTAATAATGTAATAATAGCGGGATAATGAACATTGCCTTTGGTTCATTACGCCTTTCAGGTCACGCACTGCCCTTGATATTTGTTCACGTATATACGAAACTCGAACCAGGAACTTCTATGCCTTTTACAGGAACCGTCAAATGCACACCTCTTTTATCAAATCTGGTAAATTTCGGCACATTAGTTCTCGGTGACAGGGTGGCAAGCCATTGAAAAGTCGAGAGCAAAACTTATCGGCGCAACAAAAAAAGGCGTCAACACTTCTAAGATCGCCGATACTGAAATGCCTTTGAAACCTGTAAAGCACTTCAAAAACTTGCCGTCAAACCCAGTTTTATAAAACCGGCTCAGATATTCAACCAGCCGCGGCCTGAGGTCCCGCAGCCAAACTCACTTTCTGAGGACTCCCATGTGGTCGAACAGCACCATGGACGTGTTGCTGAAGGAGGTCTGCAGCTTGAAGACCGTGTGCAAGCCCTTCTCCTCGGCCTCAATCAGTTTCTCCTCCGGCATCGAGACGATGAACTTGACCGTGGTGTCGGTGGTGTACTCCTTGAAGTCGCTGTTGGGCGGAACAGAGAGATATCGTTAGGCGGGGTGGACAGAGACAGATAATTAGATACATAGGCAGGCCGGCAGATAGAAATAGGAAGGGAAGGAGGGAGATAGGAAGAAAGATACAGAGAGGGAGAGGCAGATAAAGTACGGCGAGAGGTGGCAGCAGAAACGACAAACTAACGATGAACAGCATGGTTCGAGAGGGATAATCAATTTCCCCCTGTGAGCGGCATGATAAATTGCATGATCATTTTAGTAAATTGCATTCATCGTTTCTAACATTATTTTCAAACTCATTCCTGGCGCTTCTTGTATAGGCCGTATTCCAATGACGTCCCAATCTTGACGCCCCGCGCGGTGACCGATGGAGATTAATAGCTGAACAAAGTGCAGAGACAAAGCTAACGATGGAATATATATGAAATAGTCCACAGATTAATATGATAATATACCTATGGTGAAACATAATACAAGTGGAATATAAAATATAGTGCCTATATCACCACCAATCACCATGACCATCAGTCTGCGCTCTGCTACTAAACACCACTCGAGACACCGTCAGACAACGTCCAACACATTAGCCGGTTACATTATTATTACATCTGGCCCTCCCGCTCCTGTCTGCGTCGGTTTCTATCCGCCCCATCGTCAGTTACAACAAATCGTCAGTGACAGCGCTCGCTGGGAGCGCACTGACCTCACGAGCGTGCGACGGGTCTGATGACTGCCCCCTCCCTCCCCTCCCCCCCCCCTGGTCCAGCCGGGTGTCATCACACACACACACACACACCGGCAGCGCACAATGGGCCGGGACAGTCGAACGGGACGAAAAATAAACGACACCGGCTTCCGGTCGGCAGCAGTTGAATCAGCAGGGCGATCGGCAGAAATGCGGCGACGTGGGTCGAATTCGCAGTGAGCACGGACGGATATTACGGAATATAGTAGCCGGTGTGTTAAGGGGTGGTCAAAACAGATATAAGGAGGGAAGAAAAGAAACAGGACACAGAACAATTTTAACTTCACTGCCAATTTTCACAGCCCGTTAGCATGTCGCACAAACGTAACAATAACGACAATGCTGACAAAGATGTTCCTCAACAGTCAATAGCCCTCTACCCTCGAAGCTATCAATGGTGTTATAGCAGCACAAAAATGTGTGTCCTGTTTTCACAGTGAAAACGACTAGACCCACAGGTAACTATTTAATCACAGGAATAAGATTCTGCCGTTTCCACAAAGTGTTAACAGCCTGGCAACCTAATAAAGGATCTGAGGAATTCAGTAGGCGGACATTCAAATGAAAACTTTGTTTACTACTTATGTAGCAATAAACTAGCTACACTCACTGAACCGGTAACGATCACTCCTATCGTGATTTGCAGGCATGGCTTGTGGGTCGAATAGAGCAATACAAATATTCGCAGAACTATAAAAAATAGTTAAGTTAAAACACGGGTATCTTTTGATCCACATAGTCTCATCCCTAAGTTCTTTTTCAGTTCACGTTTATGAAAACTTCTTTTTGCGATGGTGGGGATATTTGGAATTTTAAGGGCGCCTGCTTTGCGATGGCCATCAGCGGCCGGAAATCACTTTGCATAGTCCATCTGCTACCTGCAGCGATAATTAATTATCAAATAATTGATCCGGAAGCAGAGCGCGAAGGCCAACTGTCACTGCAGCACAGAGCCAGTTCGGGCCGCCCACACTCGCATCCTTGTGAGCAGACCCCGGCGGGCGGGACACTCTCACGCCTCCCTCACATCCCCGGGACACCGGCACGGGAGCGACCGACGAGCACACAGGCCAGCTCATTACTGTGAATTACAGCCGCGTCCCGTCCTGGAGCCGGCTTTGTCGCGGGCCATCGATAAAAACGGAGCCCCGAGGGCGGTCGACTGCCGCTCTGAGACACTCTGATTACTTTTAGGCCACTTCACGGCGCTCGGATGCGAATATAAGTATCGCTAAACAATGCTGCAAGAGCGTCAATATGGTGCCGAGAGCGAGCAGAGATCACGGAACTCAGCTGTTCCTCAGTCCTATACACGCTACAGATGCGACGATATACGAGATAAATTACTTGGATCATAGTTCGTGAAGGGCAAAAACGATATATATTAACTCAACTTATCCGCAATGAGTAGCATATGCAATCAAAGGTAGACTATTCAACAAGAGTAAAACGTGTTCCTCGGCAAATTAACATCTGCAATGTCCACAAGCACTAGGGTTGCGTTCCGCCAAACAAACGAGCGAGGACTTCACACGCTCAAGGAACATAAAAGAAAAAGCGACGCCACAGAAGCCCACTGCGGTTACCGCACCGCACAACGTTCGACGTTTGATACACAAAACACGCAGTACGGGACGTTATATTTCTCCATTTAATTAAACTTCGTGGGGCTTGCCTATTTTTGCCTACACAAAATGCAATACCATTATGAAAGCGCAAGTTTCGGAATGTTGCAATTCTCCACCGGTTTCGTTGAATGGCGGAATTACCTTATATTCACAACACCCTACTATTATGTACACCTGCTCTGGTACTTTTCAAAGAGAACCCATACGCTGACATCAAACATAAACCTCCGCCAATGTAGCCGTGCATTCCCTGGGCCTAACAATCACCAAAATACGCGACTGGGACGCGGTTTTAAGCCCACCCCACCTTCCATCCATGATACCTTCCTCTGGGTGAATCTCCTTACGACCTTACACCCCCGTCTGTCAAATTATAGGTGCGACGTGCGGTGGGACAGACAGAGAAAATACACAAAACCATCGACACCACGGCACCTTGTTTCCATCAAACAAAATGCCAACCGCGGCTGGGCCACGAGTCACAATTTTTACGAGCTATTTTCACATCACGAATTGGCCGAGACCCAGTGAGGAAGTCACGTCGACCAGACGGTAAATATTAACGACCCTCTCTGTGATGGTTCCTCATAACACGACAACAGAGAGGCAGTGTGCACCTCGTCATCCTCAAACCCGATCACCTGGGGCGCATCCTGTGCGCCGACGAAGCTTTATCTGATTATCTGTCTCGTCGGTCTATTCACGGAAGGAGTCGCGCTTCAGGGCTGTCTATGTCCGCGGGCAGATGCCGCAGGGCTGATTCGCGGTGGGTGGTCTCTGTGAGTCGGCAGACCAAACGGATCCCGTGTCCGAGGGAGAGTGGGGCAACGTTGGATAGCATTCTCCGGCATAAGGTCTATAATATAAACGGTGAGCTCCGAGCTTTCTGTGTTTGTTCTCAGAGTGGGTTCTTCAGTCTGCACAGGAGCCACAGAGCTCCCAACTTCCAACCCACAGAGAGAGACAGACAAGCAGCCCATGGGCATTCTCCTAGGAGCGCGGGTATAGTTGGTGTGGGGCTCGCGCCGACCCCCATCCTGCCTGAGGCGCTGCGGGTCAGAGCGGCGACCAACCAGCAGCGGCCGGGGGCAACTGTCAGCCGCGTCTTGTTAGTAAGAAAGGCGGCGGTCCGGCGCGGACAGCCTGACTATGGTAGATGAGTCTGAGATGCTACCTATACACGGCCGACGGCGCGTGATCAGATAGCCCCCGGAGCGAGTGCGCGCTCATGTGAGGTCCGCTATTAGACCGCACTAACCAATGGGCGACAGATGAGCAGCGGTGGCTGATATAGCCGACAATGGAACTCCAGAAATACATACTCATTACCGTCCGACAGGATTAACGAGAACGGGTAGAGCTGGTAGTACAAATGAGACATAATAAGGGTAGTGCATCCTTCTCAATAGTGTCTACTCTCCCAAGATGTGATTCATTGAATATCATTCAAGCTGTCTGCAACTCTTCGGTTATCGAGTTCACTGGAGTTATAGGACATGCTGATCTTAGTTTTCGCGGTCTCGGGTTGCACTGGAACCGGTAACCAGTAAACAGCCCCCCGTTACACAGATCACAAACTACTACTTCTCTTCCCTCCAGCGCTGACCATAGTCACAGTCACAGGCCACGCTTCTCTTCGGCGTTGGTCGGGTCAAGGACTTCGCACGTCAATGCATCTTCAAGGGCTCGTCAGACCCATAGACTAAACCACTCTCTTCTGCAGTAAACGAGCGGAACAAACCCTCTTCCTCTCTCCATATCCTGCGGCGCCGGATAATATTCCTATTTCCTATCCACCAGACTTGTAAACGACTCAATTTTTTTTTGAGTCGATTCTTTGTTTGAGTCTGGAAATTTGAATCGATTCAGCAAACGACTCATGATGTTAAATTTAATTGATTCGAATCAACTCATGACTCATCAAGTTCCTCGATAAAATGATTCGAATCAACTCATGACTCGAGCAACTAGCCAAGGGAATGATTCGAATCAACTCATGACTCACACATTTTGATGAATCGATTCAAATCAACTCATGACTCACACGACATTTTTATTGAACTTATTTCATTCAACCCATGACTCACTATAGGCATTTGTTGATTATTTGACTCAAAGCTATGATAAAATGAATATGCCGCATACCACAATTGTATTAAGCAGCATAGTAGCCTTGACCAAAGATTCAAGCAGCTACCTACCTAGTAGGACTAGGTAAATAGGTACCTACCTTACACCTCCTACCTATCTTCAACACTCAACAGTCAACAGTGCAATGTCAGATAAATTTGTAAGTAACTCTGAGAGACAATTATAATATAAGTAAGGACTAAGGAGTAGCATAGTAACCTATCTCCTATTATTACCTAGGAAGTCTTATTTGAAAATTCAAAAGCACAAGTTCCGAGAGGCATTCATGTTTTTTTTAATCAAACTTTTTCTACATGATAATGAAACAAATGTTACTACTTCTTACTTATCACATAAAATTATTCAAACAGTACAACCTCAAAAATAGGATTAATCCCACCTGTGAAATATCCAGCATCAGCAGGGACTCCATGGGCCACTAGGAGGCCATGACCTTGCATGAGTGGCTCAGGCCTCAGAATCAGATATGATCTTGAGTTGAGA